AACCACAGTGTGATTCAAACCAGCTTAAACAAATATTTTCATTCCTTGCATATGGCAAGTAAAACTTTGCAATACTTCAACTTTTCGACAAAGTACACGTCACGTTGTCTTGCTTTCAATTCTGCTCGTTCCAAGGCGAAGGAGGTGAAAAGAGAGGCATATTTGGATCTTTTCGTTGCTTCCCAGTTAAATAACCAAGAACTTTAATTCAATAAGAGTTGTCGCGTCTGGAAGCAAATAGAAAACACAAAAAAGTAGGCGCCAAAAAATGCTTTCAAGACTTGACGTGTCTGAAAGGTGACAAAGAGAAATTTGATTTCCCCATGTGAACAGCCATAAAGACGTCCCAATGACTTTTCGGAAATCAGTTTACGAAATTAAAATTGCAAGGGTTTACTGCAACTCAAAGAGCGCAACCGATTTCGGATATATATATTTCATCTTGCTTATCCTGCAATTGACATTTTTATTTCTGTTGCAAGTGCTGTGAAGCTGTGTGGAAATAAAAAACCTTTTTCGAGAGACACCATACACTAAAAACACGGTAAGACTGCTCATGCAACTGCTTTCTGAAATTACACAATTTGGCAGTCTTTCCGAAATATATGCCATTGCAACATCTTACTGCACTTTTATGACCCAAGCTGTCATCCACAGACTGTGAATGTTGCACATGGAACGTGAAGAAGAAGCATCAGCCACGCTTTTTTTAATAATTTAGACCTCCAGTAAACAAACTTAGCTATTTTTTTTTCGCCAAGTTTGGTCCCCATAAAGGACTAGTGTTGCAAGCAACGCTTTTTCGGCAATTAGGGTGTTGTGCAGCTATTTAATGTGGTGAAAATTATTTAAGCACTGGGGAGATTTATTCACATGGAATTGGAGATTGGGCTAATAGATTTATTTTAAATAAATTGTGAATCTGCGAAAATATCTTTTCAGCAGATTTATACACTTTTTAACCTTTTTCCCGAAAATGTACATACAGGCTCGAAAATATGCGAGTAACATTAGGTTTGTATAGTAACAGTAACATTGCAGCGAGAGCGTAAAAGCAAAATAGAGCGTTAAATTGAGAAGAAGAGAAAACTAGCAGAAGAACTTATTGAACACAAAACTAGCAATAACTTGCAAGTGAACAGTTGTTGCACTGCTTTGACAATCTGCTGTAAACATTTTACTATTTATAAATCAGTTTTAAACTCTTTGCTTTACACACAAGCACTAACACTGTCCAGTACATCATTAATATTTTTGTTTCCACTCATTTTACTTTTGTTTGTGCCAAGGCGAATCAATATAAGGTGATTGCAGGAGTACAAAAACAAAAATTTACATGTATTTTGTTTTTGCTTTGGCGGCATAAACTGTCAAAACCTGTAAGTGTGAGTAGAAATTCAAACAAAATTTTTCAATTTGATATCAGAAGCCGTGCGGAGAAACACATACACAAAATCAACTGAGCTAGTAACACCACTTTTTATATATTCTTTTGACATTTATTCTTCTTCTTCTTCTGCTAGCTAATTTCTGCTAGTAAAAATTTCACTAGCAAGAATTTGCAGCTCTCTCGTGTTGTTACGCTCTCGATTCAGTGCTCTCTTGCAAATTTTTGGGTTATCATACACTTTTCCAGTAAAAGTTTGCAGGTTCCAGTACAAATTAGTACTGACTATTGGTAACTATACAAAGCTATTCAAATATCGTCCCCTCGATGGAAAATTGCCGGAAGCGTCATTTTGACAATTTGTGGTTTTTGGATATCTTCTTTAGTTTCCGACTAATTGACTAAAATTTTTTCGGTTATTTGGTACAAATTGCGTTAGTATTGCTGTCGTACTAAACTAATCAAGATCTTTTAAATAGAGTTATCTGTTCTTCTTTAGTTTCCGACATATTCAGCTTTATCATGAGTTTCATTTTCTAGAACCGGGTCACTTTTCGTTTGCGTGTGTTCACTACAGGTGGATGAAAAAATTGTTGGCGAAATTTTGTTCGGGCGAAACTCACGATTGGGCTGATTAGTAAAATGTATGGTTAATTTATAAAAATTGTTATCACATTTTGGCGTATATCACTAAAACTGACTGCAAATTTTTTGACAAATGTCGTATACGACAAAATTTTATTAAACTCATAAATGGTTGACACTAAACTAAAAAAATAAGATAATTAAAGAATTTCATGAACTAGTACATAGCATTCTCCGACACTTTGGAGAAAATCTGTAGTCGTGTTTCTGAGAAATTGCATTCCAAACTTCAATCGTGAGTTACCGAAAGTAACTTGTGACAATCTTTTATCCAGGGATCTACATAAATTATAATTGTCATTATTTTCGCAGTTGGAGTATATGCCAGACGAGTAACAGGTATATACATACAAGGATACCTAAATTAGCGCGTTGAACTTGTATATTTATCTCTCTCCAACGCATTAATTCTATATACGTAGGTACCAACGCCTGACAAAGTTATGTCTAAATTTAATAATGGCTCTATGACAAAAAAAATCATGGAATGTATTCGTAGTTTTTTATTTACTTCATTTCATACATTAGCATTGATGTTTTGTTTTTCATACAATAGTATAGATGTTTTTTACTAAATACCAGGAATAAATATTTAATAAAAAACTATTTCATTTAAGCTTAACCAACTTTTAGCTGCTCGGAGCTAATTTTGGAGCGCCTCACGAAATATTTTCATAGACAGTAAATGCAACCCTGGGTGCATCATTAACGAGCTGAAAAACCAAACAAATAAAAAAATTCCATCTGAACCAATATTCCCAAAAATTATAAAGCAAAACAAAAACCATTTTTTCCAATTTATGCACTGTTATTTTTATTATTGCAATACAATTTCGCAGCTCTTCAAACATTTTCCACATTGTGCTTTTAGGGCTAGTAGTTTCCGACCCCATTTGCTCGTTTTTTTTTTCAATTCTGAATTTAGGCTAGGCTTCATGGGAACTTACTGTGGGTGCAAACAGACCACATTTTGTAAACTGAATTGTGATATTTAATTTAATTTTATAATGAAAAATGAATTTAATGTGCAATTTTTTAAGTTTACTAGATGTAAGACAACTTTTAATTTTCTTTATATATTGCATGCTTTAGTTTTAATTGTTTAAGTTAAGTTGTAAAGGTGAAAATAGGCCTCCTGGGCAACCGAGCACATAAAAAAAATCGGTAACGCGCGTAAAAGCATACCTCACAAGTGGTTTGGAAAATGCAAGAACAAATATAAACGGAATAATTTTCGAAATTATGAAATGGTTATTGGTATTTTCCATCTCAAAGGGGGTGATTAATTTGAACGTTATTTAAGCAGCCTTTACACGGTCGATTTTTCTCGTTTAACCAAAATCTACCCGTGTAAATTGCAATTCAACCGTAAAATGTAAGCGTTTTGGCTAGTCGATATCTTAAGTAAATTTTCCAGTCGACAGAAATCGACCCGTGAAAAGGCAACTTCAGGAATTTTTTAATTTTCTTTTTTTTTTTTGCTTGAGCGTCTTTTGAAGATGTGCCAAATTATATTGTCGCCTTAAATACAAAACAACAATTTCTTTAAGCCATCTTGTGCAGCAATTTGTTGATTTTATCCTCACGGCTACCGAAATCACCAACCTCAACGTAGTGATTAGCCTTCTTGCGCCAGCCTCGGGTTGATGTGTTGAGCTTGAATAGCAACAGGAAGTTGGGGCTTTCTTGAAGTGAAGTGAATCAACGCACTGAATTTCGTGCGCTTCGCGAAATTTGCGTTCGATCACAAAGCAGAGATTGGGACACGCTTGACCATTCCACGTTTGTACATCAATTCACAAATTGATTTAAGATTTGGATAACCCCATATAGGGGGTTCGGCATACGTAGCATATTAATGGTTGCCTTGCTCAATTTGATGAACACATCGTTTTAATGTGGCGAAGACAGAACTGTAAAACTGCGGATGCGGATCACAAAAGCCAATTTGGATTTTTCAGGCCCGTTGAATCGGCCGCATTTCTTTGCCACACTGCGTTACTCCATCTCACGGCGTCCATCACCGAGTTTTCTTGTTTGATATTTCTCAGCATGCACCAAGTTTTCACATTTACGGAGTGCAATCACAGCAGAGCGCTTTAGTTTACGTTTGATCAGGGTAGCAATTTGCTGACCTGCTCTTGCTGAACTGCAGCTTCGGCTCGGGGACAGGAGGCAGCTTCCTGGAAGATTGTCTGCCCTTTGCTTGCGGTTTCTTACCGGCCCATGATGGCAGTCATCTGAACTTGTTACTTAGCACGTTGAAAAGGCGAAAAAAAGTTCGCCAAATGTTTGGAGCACATCGTAAATGAGCCACTCGATTTATAACATTTCTATAAACGATTTAATTAAATACTTTTTATACATAGATATGCTGCAACCATGCACTTACTTTCCCCAAATTCCATCCTGTTTATCGGCATAATTTTCCAAATATGCCTGCTACTTCATTACTAATTACTAAATTTTCCAACTGCGCCTTTGTTGGCTCGTCATATCCTAAAAAGACAAATTTACATTAAACAATAGAAATCGCAAAAATTAGTAAATAAAATACTCGCTTTGTTTTGTTTTGTTGTCAAATTTCTGAGAAATGTGAATTCACCACGATGCGATACAGAAAGAACAAGGACCAGGGATGTAATTTTAAGTAATCTTTTATTCAGTGGCAAGGCGCAGAGCGTTCGGGGCAGCAATATTAATTTGTATCAAATATAACATTAAACGGTGGTTCTAATACATTTTTTTATATTATTAACCAGAGTACATACATTATATGGTATTTCTTTCAAAATTAATGTACTATATGAACTTTTTTTTCAAATATTTCTTAAGTTTCTTTCATCAGTGCTGAAAAGCAACCTTGCGTGTAAGAAATTGTGTGGTACCTAAAATTTCACCTCTGGAAACTTTATCCCCATAAAGGACTTCACCACAGTTTTTTTACTGGATATACTGAGATTTAGACTTTAGGAAAATTAATGGGGCCAGTATGTCTTCGTGCAGTTTGTGTATAAATAAGTTTTCCAAACTCTTTAATCCCAAGGATAGAGTACTAGGCACACAATTGTCTAGTGTAATAGATTTTATAATTGGTGATCATGTGAGTAAAATGTAATAAGCTGACGGAAATGATAACAAACCTTTTCTTTGTACCAGGTTGAGTTCCCTCCAAAATTCCTTATCTGCCCTGAGTGCTCAGCGGGCCTTATAAAAACAGAATTCGTTTTAGAACGTCTCTTAAAATCCTTGCCCGGCAACAAAAGTTTTAAGAAACGCCTATTAAATAGTGCCTTCTCACAAAACGAGCAGGATGAAAGCACGGATGAGCGGGAAGACCAACGAAAAGAGAATGAGAATGAAGAGGTGGACAGTTCAAAAAAGCAAGATGCCTCCAAATCGAGTGACGTCTGGACCTTTCATTGTGCGCACTGTGAGTTGACAACAAACAAAGCAAACTTGTACAAAAAGCACTTGCTAATTGAGCATCAGGTGGATAATCCGCGAATCTATCAGTGCATGTATTGCCAAGAAACATATCAGCGCATCAATGGTATACAAAATCACATTGCATGTGTGCATGACAATAAACCACGCCCAAAAAGCCAGCGACGTAAAACCATTGCCTTTGATACTTCGGCTGTGCTAAGCAGCACTACCATCAAGAGTCAACTGGACAAGGAAATCTCAATGGTTAACACTACTATCGAGAATAACGCAGCGGATGATCCGAATGCACCTTATGAATTCGAGTGCACACACTGTAAATATAAAACAGTAAATCCTAAAATGTACAAAAAACACCTGAAAATCAAGCATGAAATTGAAGATTCACGCATTTATAAGTGCAAGCGCTGCCCTAGCACATATGTACGACAATTTGCATTACAAAATCATATTGCATATGAGCACGAAAATAAGCCCAAACCAAAACTGCAACGACGCAAGTCTGTTGCGGCAGCAGACTTGGAAACTTACACAACCGGAGACAAAGGAGACTTGGCAGTCATTAAAGTAGCGCAAAAAGAACCAGAAGAGACTGAAGGACACGGGGAACAGGAAGTGAATAATGAAAACTATACAGTGTACCAAAACGGAAATATTTCAATTAAAAGCATTACTGATGAGCAAGAAAACCAACATGAACATGATTTTCAAACGACCTTAAAGAGGAAACTTAATCATTTAAGCTCAAGTCAAATTTCCTCTGCCGAGTGGGTATTCCAATGTTCTGTTTGCGACTTCGAAAGCATAAAGAGAAAAACATATAAAGCACACATGACCAGTCAGCATGGTGGAATCGATGGCGGTATTTACAAATGTATTTACTGTTCAGCTGCATACGAGCGCTACAGCTTACTACAGAGCCACGTAACAAATAAACATTGTCAATACGATTTGAATACAGTGAGTGATTCGCAACCCATATATTCCGGTTCCGGGCAAGATCAAGATACATCAGCGAAGAAACGACGAGTTCAAGAAACACCAAAGAAATCTAAGCAATTAAAGCATATAGAATCCAGTCAAGAAGAGCCGAAAAATATAGGGAGGCTCAATGGCGAGAAGTCTCAGCAAAAGGAGACTTGCGTTGTCTGCGGCAAAGCATATTCGACTGTAGATAAGTTACGCGAGCATATGGATAAACAGCATGGTGGCGATCAAATAAAAAGTTGTCCCAATTGTGATGCAAAATTTCGTGCCGTGGAAAAGTATGAGGCTCATCTGTTTAGTGAGAAGTGTCTGGACACCAAGCTAGCATGTCAATATCCCAGCTGTCCGAAACGGTTTAAAAAACGCTCGAAAATGCAACAACATATGAAAGAGAAACATCCAGAATTAATGAGCTAAATAAGGTAGAAGCATGGTGTAATAATAACAAAGTGTTGTCAGTAACTTAACCTC